CGAGGCCGCCCGGGATGACAGTATAATGGACTCGCTGAAAATCATAGGCCTATAAAGCGGCATGGGGCGGGTCGCCGCTCTCCTCGCAGAAGTACCGGCCGGGAACATGACGAAAGATTGGCAACCCCCCCCCCCATCTTTCACCCTCCACCCCCCTACCGCTCTTTCTTCTTCCTTCTACCCTATGCCCCTCCTTCCCCACCTCCTCTCCCCTCCTCCAAGCCTCACCAACCTCCTTCCCTCCCTCTCTTCCTCCCTGACGCCCCCTTCCCTCCCCCTCCCTCCCTCCCTCTCCCTCCCATCCCTCCCTAGCCTCAGCATTGCTCAAGCCCCAAGTACAGAGCGGGGTTAAGGGCGCCACACCAACTTACAGATACGCTAATGAGGACGAAGGAACGCATGAGAGAGTAATGGAAAAACGGGGAGAGGAAGACGGATGGAGAGAGAGAGGGGAGGGAGAGGAGAAAAGAGGAGAAGAGGAGGAGGGAGAGGAGAGGAGGAGGAGAGGGAAAGGAGGAGGAGAGAGAGAGAGGAGGGAATGGTGCGACGAAAAAAGAATATGGGCTGAAAAGGAATGAAAAGTATGTTGACAAAAAAAAAAAAAAAAAAAAAAATATGTATATATATATACAAACAAGGAAAAGAGACACGAAAAACGTAAACAAATCGGAAGAGGAAAATGGAGAGAGAGAGAGAGAGAAAGAAAAGAGAGAATAAAATGCGAAATAAGATAAGAGAAGAAAGCAAGAAAAATAAAAAGGGACGAAAAGAAAAGAAAAAAAAGGAGAAGAAAGAAAGAAAAAAAAAGAAAAACATAGAAGAAAAGAAAAAAAGAAAGAAGGAAAAGAAGAAAAAAAAACAAACAAACATTACAGTGGCTGATGTGCGTGCAAGCAGAGAGCACGAGGGAGAGAGGGTTGGGGGGGGGGAGGCCACAGGGACAGCGATAAAGTCAGACGGATGCAAGAAACAGATGCGGTGGAGGAGAGGAGGAAGGAAAGGGATGAGGGAGGAGGAGGAGAGAGAGGGAGGAGGAGGGGAGAAGGAGGTGAGGGGTGGAGGAGGGGGAGAAGGAGAGGAGGAGGAGAGGAAGAGGAGGGGATGAGGAGGAAGAAGGAGGAGGAGGGAAGAAGAGGAGTGGAGAGGAGAAGAGGAGGAGGAGGGAAGAAGAGGAAGGAGGAGGAGAGAGGAAGGGGATGAGGAGGAGGAGGGAAGAAGAGGGAGGGGGATGAGGAGGAAGAGGAGAGAGGGAGGGAGGAGGAGAGGAGGAAGGATGAGGGGAGGAGGAGGGAGAGGGAGGGGATGTGGAAGACAAGAGATGGCGAGGACGAATCCCACTCTGCTTGCCACATTATCTTCTTCCCGTTTATTCTCTGTGTTTTCTTTTCTCTTGTTCTCTAACGCTTTCCTCGTCTCTCTTTTCTTGAATTTCGTGAGTGGAAGCGAATTGTGCCTGCGCCTCAGCCTGCCCCCCAGCCTTGCCCAGCCTACTTCTCCCGAGCCTCACAACCCCTCATAAGCCACGCCACACGAGGGACACGACGAGCCAAGCGATTCCCGAAGGCGCTGACGCAACCGCCGCCCCTCGTTGGTCGGTGCGAGTCGGGGCCCTGTCGCTGTGTGTCAACGGATCAGCGCTTTCACAGGATGACACACACATGACACGCACACATGACACACGGCACACCTTGCTGCCTCATTACGGGTGGGGGGAAGGGGGGTCGACCTGCCTCTTTCTCTTAGGCCTAGGCGTGATATATTTAGTTTTTTCCCTCCTTTTTTGTTCGGAAATGTCTCTCTCTCCCCCTCCCGTATTGGACTAATGACCCGTCGCTCGGTTTATCTATTCATAGGCCTATCTATTTATCTATTTATAACCCTGTCTGTCTGTTTATCTATTTATCTATCGATCTATATTCTTCGTCCATTTATCGACCTTAATGGGATTCACTGAGCATTCAGTTAACACGCTGATAACTTTCCTCTGACGTATAATCTTATATCAACAAGCAAATCTAATCAATCGCAACCATCTCAAACTAAATCAAACCAAACCAATCCGAATCTCGGGCCAAATCGAGCCGAATCTCAAGCCAAACCAATCCGACTCTCGAAGCAAATCACAAAGACAAAAACCTCGTCAGCGCGTGGCCATTCGAGTCGACGCCCCCCCCCCCCATTCGGCATTAACATCCCCGCCATCACCGTCAGCCGCCGCCGCCGCTGACGCCCCTCGTGCTCCGGCGCCGCGTCAGCAACTCCTCCCCCAGCTGACCTGCCTTCCCCCAGGGCCATTGCCGGCGAATTTACGAGAATTATTAAAAGACGCCGCTTTCTTATCGCCGCCATAACGCCTCGCCTTCCGCCGGACGTTATTGCTCCCGTGATCGCCTTCTGGGCCGGGCGAGGCGGACGCGCTCGGCTCAAAATTGTGCCATGATATATATCAAAGAATCCAAATAATAATATTATTAATAACAACAACAACAATAATATAATAATGGTAATAATTAATAATAATCATAAATAATAATAGTAATAATAATAATAATAATAATAATAATAATAATAATTAATAATATAATAATAATTTACAAAATAAAACATAAAAACAATAACACAAAGGACTACAAGACCGGCAACCCTTTCCATGAAGACGCTCCTATCTCTCCCTACCCCTCTCTCCCTAGATAGGCGTGTAGGCCTACATCCTTCTCGCCCCCCCCTCCTACTCCCACCTTGGACGCGCCCATCTTCGTTCAGAGGTCCAGAGCTCGAGGCCAAGGGAGGGACCGGGGGGGGGGGGGGGGGTGAAGGCAGGGGGCAAGGGAGGGGGGAGTTCGAGGGCAGATCGGCCTCCAACGAAGCGAACGAGTTTCCGAGGAGCGCCTGTGAAAGCCGTCGCCTTGTTGAGACAGCTCTTAAGATGGTGTTTACGAGCGGCCGGCTGTCCCGATCGACGTTTATAGGCTCCGGCTTTAATTTTGCTAGGCCTATAACTTGATTAGGTTCCTCTCGCCTGGCTGCTGCTGTTGCTCCGGCTGGCCCGTCTTGATTCCCGTAGGCCTAAGGAGGAAGTCTCCTGCGGTCGCTACAACAGGGCCTCCACGGTGTGTGTGTGTGCGGGGGGGGAGGGAAGGGGGGGGGGCGAACATCAAAACTGTTGCAGCCGTTTTGCGAATTCCCAGGTACAACGGACCGCGAATTCCGACCGAATTCTTCCTACTTTCCGGCTAGATTCCTGGCTCCTGTGACCCTCCCCCCCCCTTCCTCTCCCCTCTCCCCTTTTTCCCTCTCATCTCTCTCGCGAGCGTTTTTATCATTTCCTTTTGCGTGAATATTCTCTGTTCGCAATACTCGTTATTTTTCTCTACTCAGTTTTCGGAATTCTTCGTTTGTTATGCTTCTCCTTTCTTGATCCAACTCTATCCTCGAATTTCCCATTTCTCTTTCCCTTCCTCATCACCTATGTGTCTTCATCTCTCCCTTCCACACCCTTCTCCACCTTTCTCATTCTCCCTCTCTCCTTTTCTTTCTTCTTCATTCTTCCTCTCCCTCTCCTCTCTCTCTCTTTTCTCTTTTCTCTCCTATCTCTCTCTTTTCTCCCTCTCTATCTCGTCTCCCTCCCTTCTCTCTCTCTCCTTTCTCTTCCTTTTCTTTCCCCTTTCTCTCTCTTCTCTCCTTCCGACATGCGACCCTCCGGCCCTCCGCTTCATGTCCCCGCGACCGCAGCGCCGCCACAGAATGGCAACCACGTGTCGGTTCAGGAAAGCGGACGGGCGAGGAGGACGAGAAGCCGGAGTAAATGGAGGGACACGCAAGGGAAGGGATGCAACAGGAGTAGGAGAGGGA